TAATCCCAGCTGCTTGGGAAACTGAGGTAGGAGAATTGGATTAGCCCAGGAATTAAAAGACTAGCCAGGGCAACATAACAAAACCCCATCTCAAAAAATAGAGAGTGCTGCCTGTAGCCACCCTCTAACTGGTTAACGTTAGATTAGATGATCAAGAAAGACCTTTTTAAGAAAGTGATAATTGGGAGGTGCCTGTGGCTCAAGGAGTAAGGTGCTGGCCCCATACACTGGAGGTAGTGGGTTGAAACCCAGCCACAGCCAAAAAAAATAAGAAAAATAGGTAGTTTTAATAAGTAGTACATATAATATGAGATGCAGTTTATTTAGATGAAGCCAGAGTGAACCATTCCTAGGACCTCATTGACTTAGCCAACATATATAAATATGTAAAGGTTATTGGGTGGCAGTCTTTCAAAGATTTAATAAGATATAGTTTCTATGCTCCAGAAGCTTGTAATCAGATAGTATGGGATGGAAAGAATTGTTTAGTAATGGACCCTAGGAAAGCCCTCCAATATTAAGGTCAAAATGAAGATTATTATGGAGGAGGAGAGAGAAATAAGTGTACTTTTATTGAATGCCTATTTAGTTGATCCTCAAAAATCCCAAGAGATAGGCATTATTAGCCTTTTTTTTTTAATTTTAAAAAAATTAGTCTTAAATACATTGCTCAAGGTCACACAATTAGTAGGTGGTAGAGCTGAGATGGGATTTACAACTATTGTTTATCTTATTTATGTAAAATTGTATCTATGTATGCTTGTACACACCCATAAATGTCTGGAAATATTAACTTTGGTGGAGATTTGCATGATCTTTATTGTTTTCCTGCTTTCTAGAATTGCCTTCATTTTCCACCTTCTGTCAAAAACTTTTATATGTATTCCACAGGAAAGTAATCCAACAGGCAAGTATGTAGCAGCAGCTAGGGTCACTTTCAGAGGGAAAGTTTCAGGGCTGAACAGAAGAAGGAATTAGAAAATCAGGGCACCTTTAAAAGCTCTGAAGCAGCAGCAGGAATTTGTCCCTTCCTAGGCAGCCTTTAATACCAAAAAGAAATTGACTATGCCTAACCATTAGTATACCATGTAAAGCGGTC